AGAATCACAGATATCATTGAACATTAAATTAAGTTAATGTTAATATAAATTAAAAATGACTATTTGTGTAGTGAGGTTCAAACCACCACTTTCATTTGAATAATTGACATGTTTTAAATATAATTTTGGACTTATGATTATTTACTATTATATATGTAATAATATCATAATTTCTTGAAAAAGAGCTTAGTCCTAAACCTTCAGCTCACCTTGGTGTTGAGTTGTCACTCCAGCTATAAAAACAGAAAGATCATTGAATATTAATTCATGATAATTTGTGTCAATAGAAAAAGACCCGTGTAGAAGATTTAAACCACTACTGAAATGTATAAAACATTTCAAATATAATAGGCAGTTATGATTGTTATGCAATAATAATAATGAAAGGTTAATCATAATTATATTTTGAGGTAAGAGCGTAGACGTAAACTTTCAACTCACCTTGATGTTGAGTTGTCATTCCAGCTGCAAAAAGACACAGATGTCATTGAACATTAATTTAACTAATGTCAGTAATAAAATACTTGTTTTTTGTGTAGGAAGGTTTAAACCACTACATTCATTGGTATGATTAACATTTATCCATTGTAATATACAGTAATGATTATTTGCTGTTATCTATTAATAAGGACTATAAAAATAGAACAAAAAAATTCCTGAAGAAATTTAACCAAGGCCTGTAAAAGTGTGCCCGTCAGTTGGAAACCAGTGATTTCCTGCTAAAATTAGCATCAATGCAAAGCTTCGGTAACAGTTACTAAGTACCATGTGGAGAATCACAAGTATGTTGACTAACATGGACTTGCACCATTCAGTATGTTAAAATTAATGCATAAGCTAAAATTAGCCAAATGCTCATGTTAGCATGAATGGTGAGAGTAGCTTGTGGGGTATCACTAACATCTTGTCTTACATTCACTTCATCCATTCAGTAAACTAAACATAGGTAATGTATAAGAAATAGCTAAAATGATTATTTTAGGGAAAAGGTTAATGCTAATTCACTACCTAATGCACTACCTAATGCACTACCTTGCATACCTTAAAAATGTAAGGTATGAGTTACATTTTTCCATTGTCATATACAGGCTAATATTATTGCAAAGCCTACAGCTGTGCATTAACCTGAGAGGAATATTGAGACATTTATTTTGAAATTTTCAGTAAGCTTCATTTTAAATTGTCAAACTAATCATATGTGTAACAGTGGTTGGGTTAAACCAGTTACATACTGGCCAAAATTGGTTGTGGAACAATAGACATTGTATTAAATTGTTAACTCACCTTGATGTTGAGTTGACATTCCAGCTATAAAAACACAGATATTATTGAATATTAAATTATGATTAATAATATCAATTCCTATGATCATGGCAGTGACTGCCCATAGTGATGCATGGGGAGAGCACTGACTGCCTCCCATGGATTGCTATGGCAGGCCCCAATACGTTTTTGAAAGATAGGTCTAAATTTTCAGCTCACCTTGGTATTCGGTTGACATTCCAGCTATAAAAATACACAGATAACATTGAATATTAAATTGACTTTAATGTTAATTCCAATTAAAAATGACTTATTTTATGTAACAAGGTTTAAACCACTACTTTCATCGGAATGGCTAACATTTTTCAAATAAAATATGAAGTTATGATAATCTGCCATATAATAATAATAAAATGCAATCATTTCTTGAAAAAGATATGCATAAACCTTCAGCTCACCTTGGTGTTGAGTTGACATTCCAGCTATAAAAACACAGATATCATTGAACATTAATTTAACTAATGTTATTAATAACAATAAGACTTGTTTCATGTGTAGGAAGATTTAAACAGATACATTCATTGGTATGAGTTACATTTTTCCATTGTAATATAGTTATGATTATTTACTCTTATTTATCTAATAATAAAAATAAAAAATAATAATAAAAATAATGATAGCAGGAAGTGAGTGGACAGGTCTAAAATTTCAGTTCACCTGGATGTTGAGATGTTACTCCAGCTATAAGAACACAGACATCATTGAGCATTAAATTAAGATCATTATTGTCAATTAAAGATTACCTGTTTTCTGTAAAGAAGATTTAAACCACTACAGGAATGGCTATCATTTTTAAAATGTAATATGCAATCATGATTATTCATCATTATGTGTGTCATAAGAATAATAAAAATAATATCTTGAATTAAGGATTATGAAAATAGAATAAGTTCTTGAAAGATAGCTCTAAACTTTTAGCTCACCTTGCTGTTGAGTTGACATTCCAGCTATAAAAACAGATATTATTGAATATTAAATTGCTGAGCTAATGCTTCACAAATATACCTACACTGGATAAACTTAGCATCTATGTGGGCAAAATTCACCAGCTGAGCACAGATTTAGATAAAACATCTAACAGAAATGTATGATTTTAATATTCAACAAGCAGGTTTGAAAATTTCACTTCTGTTGTGAGAAATGCAAGAAAGCGACTGAGAAAGTGTAATAATAAAATATGTAAAAGTAAAGTTTGACGTCATTTTGTAATGTGTTTTAGAAATTCAAACATGCTATTGTATTGAAACAAACTTTTGACAGAAACGTTGAGCTTACTTCGATTTTGAGTGATCACTCCGGCTACAAAAACAAAGATAAAATTAGAATAATTTAGGTCAATAAAATAAAATGTGTGCAGCATTTTAATTAAAATGATCCATCGTAACGACTTATGAATATGATTTATTGTAAACAACTTATTAATTATTTAATTAACAATAATAATTAGAGGTACATTTGAAGGCTGTCTTGTTACTTTTATCAATTAAAACATATATAATTGTTATAGATGGATGCAGTTACCTTGATTCTGAGTTGTCCTTCCAGCTGTAAAAACATAGAGATATTATTGGATATTAAATTAGGATGACTTATGTCAGTAAAAGAAGAAATGTGTTTTGTGTGGGCAGGTGTAAACAATTGCTTACTTTGGAATGACTAAAAAGTTTCGACTGTATTCTTATTTCTCAGTTAACTAATAAAAATAATAATATTTAAATCAGTGTTTCTCAAAACATTTCAGACTGAGGATCACTCACTCCATTTACAAACACTCACACACAGACCACATAACTAGAAATTCACCCACAATAACACACCTTAATATTTATAACCTGAATATATATATTTAGTCCAATAACTCATCTTTATTCCTTCTAACGTGAAAGGTGGCGCTGTTTCGTAAATGTGCCACAATAAAACCATGAACAAGTCGACTTGGGGCGTTTTGAGTTTGGATTGTAAGCTTGAAAATTTTGGAAAATACATGGAAATCCAAAAGGTTCCTTACTACTAGCTCTTTACCTTGGGGTATTTGTAATTTAGAAACATGATAAAAGAAAATAGACCTGACTTGTTTGGCAAAAAGCAGGTAGTCCAACATAAGTGATTTATTTTAGGTGTTTAGATGCAATATGATATTACGTTCAGCACCGTAAACTAGACCTGTATGCCTGCTGCATGTTATGTATCATAATAATGTTGAAAACAAAAGTTCTGCAATTCCTCCTGAGAGTTTCCTTTTTAGTGACTGGGTGTTAGGCCACTTATCCACCATTATTTTTAACCACAGTCCTTTGGTGAGTTAACTGTAGCAGCTCACTTTCAGCTCCAGTCACAGCAAATAAACCCTTGTTTACCTGCAGTACCGCGCAGACCACTGGGGGGCGCCCATGGACCATTAATGGTCCCGAACCACAGTTATTAAAAACTGATGCAAAGACAATGTAGGTCTAATGTCGGAGATTTTGTTACTTTGTGTTTTGGAAATTTGAATATTATTGCCTGTAGGATTCTTAGACAATTAAAAGATTAGATGATGGACAAGACGACAGTCTAACTTTTAACCAATTTTGATTCTGGAATAACACTATTCCAGATGAAACAACAAAAATATTATTGAACATGATTTTTTTTTTAATAAACGTGAGAGAAGAAGAATAATTCTGTTGAAAGTTTAAATTATTCTGGCTTGTTTTTTTAGACACAAACCACCGAATTAAATAACTGCCAGAAACTTATTTGTTTCTGTTTTTTAAAGCAAACAAAAAATTTCTAAAACCAGCACAGACACAGAGTGAAGTTTAAAAAATCCACTTTAGGTGTATTTAAAACATCATCCTGGAAAACTGCTCTATAAATCATAAAATTAACCCTAATTCTGGATTAGGATTATCTGGTCACATATATTACAACAGAGTTTCCTGCTATACTGCATTGCTTCTGCAGACTTGATAACAGAAACGAAAAATCTGTATAGAGGAGACCGTGCTCTGCTTGGAAACATAATCATAATAATATATAGAGGTAAAGTCTGATATTATATACATATTTATGCACAGATAGACAGAAACTTCAGCTCACCTGTAGTTGTCTGCGTTGTCACTCCAGCTATAAAAAACAGACGCATCATTGACCATTAAAATATTATTATTAAAATTGACCTGTTTTCTGCAAGACGATTTAAACCACTACAGGAATGGCTATCATTCCTGTATACCAGGAATGACAGCCTGGAATCATAATTCAGGCTGAATTATGATTCAGCTTGGAATAATTGCAATTATTAAATATGCAATTAATAATGCATATTTAAATTTTATCAGTTACATGATATCTCAACTTCATGAGATATCATGATTTATCATTATTTGTGTTGTAAGAATAATGAAAATAATAATATCTTGAAATAAGAAGATATATGAACTTTCAGCTTACTTTGATTATTAGTGATCACTCCGGCTACAGAAACAAAGATAAAATTAGAATAATTTAGGTCAAAAAAATAAAATGTGTGCAGCATTTTCATTAAAATGATCCATCGTAACGACTTATGAATATGATTTATTGTAAAACAACTTATTAATTATTTAATTAACAATAATAATTAGAGGTACATTTGAAGGCTGTCTTGTTACTTTTATCAATTAAAACATATATAACTGTTATAGATGGATGCAGTTACCTTGATTCTGAGTTGTCCTTCCAGCTGTAAAAACATAGAGATATTATTGGATTAAATTAGGATGACTTATGTCAGTAAAGAAGAAATGTGTTTTGTGTGGGCAGGTGTAAACATTGCTTACTTTGGAATGACTAAAATGTTTCGACTGTATTTTTATTTCTCAGTTAACTATAAAATAATAATATTTAAATCAGTGTTTCTCAAACATTTCAGGCTGAGGATCACTCACTCCATTTAACAAACACTCACACACAGACCACATAACTAGAAATTCACCCACAAATAACACAACTTAATATTTATAACCTGAAATATATATATTCAGTCCAATAACTCATCTTTATTCCTTCTAATGTGAAAGGTGGCGCTGTTTTGTAAATGTGCCACAATAAAACCATGAACAAGTCGACTTGGAGCGTTTTGAGTTTTGGATTGTAAGCTTGAAAATTTTGGAAATACATGGAAATCCAAAAGGTTCCTTACTACTAGCTCTTTACCTTGGGGTATTTGTAATTTAGAAACATGATAAAAGAAAATAGACCTGACTTGTTTGGCAAAAAGCAGGTAGTCCACATAAGTGATTTATTTTAGGTGTTTAGATGCAATATGATATTACATTCAGCACCGTAAACTAGACCTGTATGCCTGCTGCATGTTATGTATCATAATAATGTTGAAATCAAAAGTTCTGCAATTCCTCCTGAGAGTTTCCTTTTTAGTGACTGGGTGTTAGGCCACTTATCCACCATTATTTTTAACCACAGTCCTTTGGTGAGTTAACTGTAGCAGCTCACTTTCAGCTCCAGTCACAGCAAATAAACCCTTGTTTATATCTGCAGTACCGCGCAGACCACAGGGGGCGCCCATGGACCATTAATGGTCCCGAAACCACAGTTTATTAAAAACTGATGCAAAAACAATGTAGGTCTAATGTCGGAGGTTATTTTATTACTTTGTGTTTTGGAAATTTGAATATTATTCCTGTAGGATTCTTAGACAATTAAAAGATTAGATGGATGGACAAGACAAACAGTCTAACTTTTTAACCAATTTTGATTCTGGAATAAAAAAACAACAAAAATATCATTGAACGTGATTTTTTTTTAAATAAACGTGAGAGAAGAAGAATAATTCTGTTGAAAGTTTAAATTATTCTGGCTTGTTTTTTAGACACAAACCACCGAATTAAATAACTGCCAGAAAACTTATTTGTTTCTGTTTTTTAAAGCAAACAAAAAATTTCTAAAACCAGCACAGACACAGAGTGAAGTTTAAAAATCCACTTTAGGTGTATTTAAAACAACATCCTGGAAAACTGCTCTATAAAATCATAAAATTAACCTAATTCTGGATTAGGATTATCTGGTCACACATATTACAACAGAGTTTTGCTGCTATACTGCATTGCTTCTGCAGACTTGATAACAGAAACGAAAAAATCTGTATAGAGGAGACCCTGCTCTGCTTGGAAACATAATCATGTAATAATATATAGAAGTAAAGTCTGATATTATATACATATTTATGCACAGATAGACAGAAACTTTCAACTCACCTGTAGTTGTCTGCGTTGTCACTCCAGCTATAAAAACAGACGCATCATTGACCATTAAATTATTATTATTAAAATTGACCTGTTTTCTGCAAAGACGATTTAAACCACTACAGGAATGGCTGTCATTCCTGTATACCAGGAATGACAGCCTGGAATCATAATTCCAGGCTGAATTATGATTCAGCCTGGAATAATTGCAATTATTAAATATGCAATTAATAATGCATATTTAAATTTGATCAGTTACATAATATCTCATCACTTATGAGATATCATGAATATTTATCATTATGTGTGTCGTAAGATTAATGAAAATAATAACATTTTGAAATAAGAAGATATATGAACTTTCAGCTTACTTTGATTATTAGTGATCACACCAGCTATGGAAACACAGAGAGATATCATTGAACATTAATTTAATTAATCTCTATCACAAAAGACTTGTTTCTTGTTTAGGAAGATTAAACCACTACATTCATTGCTATGATTAACAATTTTCCATTGTAATATTCAGTAATGATTATTTATCATTATCTAATTAATAAGAATGATAAAAATAGAATAATTTCTTGAAAGATAGCTCTAAACTTTCAGCTCTTCTTGATGTTGAGTTGACATTCCAGCTATAAAAACACAGATAATATTGAATATTGAATTATGATTAATAATATCAATTACTATGATCTGACCTATTAAGTTGGAGTAACTTCACTTTTTTAATAAAATAGACATTTATGATAAGTCGTTTTGGTGCATTTCTCCAATCGTCCTTGACGTTTGCAAAACAGTAAATGTATTTCTCAAAGCAATTCATGCAAAGAGCAAAACACCATGAATTATCTGCAAAAGACGGTTTATTTCTGAGAGAAAACTGGCTGAGCTAATGCTTCACAAATATACCTACACTGGAGAAACTTAGCATCTATGTGGGCAAAATTCACCAGCTGAGCACAGATTTAGATAAAACATCTAACAGAAATGTATGATTTTAATATTCAACAAGCAGGTTTGAAAATTTCACTTCTGTTGTGAGAACTGCAAGAAAGCAACTGAGAAAGTGTAATAATAATATTTAAAAGTAAAGTTTGACGTCATTTTGTAATGTGTTTTAGAAATTCAAACATGCTATTGTATTAAAACAAACTTTTGACAGAAACGTTGAGCTTACTTCGATTATTAGTGATCACTCCGGCTACAGAAACAAAGATAAAATTAGAATAATTTAGGTCAATAAAATAAAATGTGTGCAGCATTTTCATTAAAATGATCCATCGTAACGACTTATGAATATGATTTATTGCAAACAACTTATTAATTATTTAATTAACAATAATAATTAGAGGTACATTTGAAGGTTATTTTTTATCAATTAAAACATATATAATTGCTATAGATGGATGCAGTTACCTTGATTCTGAGTTGTCCTTCCAGCTGTAAAAACATAGAGATATTATTGGATATTAAATTAGGATGACTTATGTCAGTAAAAGAAGAAATGTGTTTTGTGTGGGCAGGTGTAAACAATTGCTTACTTTGGAATGACTAAAATGTTTCCACTGTATTCTTATTTCTCAGTTAACTAATAAAAATAATAATATTTAAATGAGTGTTTCTCAAACATTTCAGGCTGAGGATCACTCACTCCATTAACAAACACTCACACACAGACCACATAACTAGAAATTCACCCACAAATAACACACCTTATATTTATAACCTGAAATATATATTTAGTCCAATAACTCATCTTTATTCCTTCTAATGTGAAAGGTGGCGCTGTTTTGTAAATGTGCCACAATAAAACCATGAACAAGTCGACTTGGGGCGTTTTGAGTTTGGATTGTAAGCTTTAAAATTTTGGAAAATACATGGAAATCCAAAAGGTTCCTTACTACTAGCTCTTTACCTTGGGGTATTTGTAATTTAGAAACATAAAAGAAAATAGACCTGACTTGTTTGGCAAAAAGCAGGTAGTCCAACATAAGTGATTTATTTTAGGTGTTTAGATGCAATATGATATTACGTTCAGCACCGTAAACTAGACCTGTATGCCTGCTGCATGTTATGTATCATAATAATGTTGAAAACAAAAGTTCTGCAATTCCTCCTGAGAGTTTCCTTTTTAGTGACTGGGTGTTAGGCCACTTATCCACCATTATTTTTAACCACAGTCCTTTGGTGAGTTAACTGTAGCAGCTCACTTTCAGCTCCAGTCACAGCAAATAAACCCTTGTTTATCTGCAGTACCGCGCGACCACTGGGGGCGCCCATGGACCATTAATGGTCCCGAAACCACAGTTTTGATTAAAAACTGATGCAAAGACAATGTAGGTCTAATGTCGGAGGTTATTTTGTTACTTTGTGTTTTGGAAATTTGAATATTATTCCTACAGTATTCTTAGACAATTAAAAGATTGGATGGATGGACAGACAACAGTCTAACTTTTTAACCAATTTTGATTCTGGAATAAAAAAACAACAAAAATATTATTGAACATGATTTTTTTTTAATAAACGTGAGAGAAGAACAAGAATTCTGTTGAAAGTTTAAATTATTCTGGCTTGTTTTTTAGACACAAACCAAAAATTAAATAATTGCCAGAAAACTTATTTGTTTTCTGTTTTTTAAAGCAAACAAAAAATTTCTAAAACCAGCACAGACACAGAGTGAAGTTTAAAAAATCCACTTTAGGTGTATTTAAAACAACATCCTGGAAAATTGCTCTATAAAATCATAAAATTAACCTAATTCTGGATTAGGATTATCTGGTCACATATATTACAACAGAGTTTCCTGCTATACTGCATTGCTTCTGCAGACTTGATAACAGAAACGAAAAAATCTGTATAGAGGAGACCCTGCTCTGCTTGGAAACATAATCATGTAATAATATATAGAGGTAAAGTCTGATATTATATACATATTTATACACAGATAGACAGAAACTTTCAGCTCACCTGTAGTTGTCTGCGTTGTCACTCCAGCTATAAAAACAGACGCATCATTGACCATTAAAATATTATTATTAAAATTGACCTGTTTTCTGCAAAGAGATTTAAACCACTACAGGAATGGCTATATTCCTGTACACCAGGAATGACAGCCTGGAATCATAATTCCAGGCTGAATTATGATTCAGCCTGGAATAATTGCAATTATTAAATATGCAATTAATAATGCATATTTAAATTTTATCAGTTACATGATATCTCAACTTCATGAGATATCATGAATATTTATCATTATTTGTGTCGTAAGAATAATGAAAATAATAATATCTTGAAATAAGAAGATATATGAACTTTCAGCTTACTTTGATTATATAGTGATCACACCAGCTATGGAAACACAGAGAGATATCATTGAACATTAATTTAATTAATCTCTATCACAAAAGACTTGTTTCTTGTTTAGGAAGATTTAAACCACTACATTCATTGCTATGATTAACAATTTTCCATTGTAATATTCAGTAATGATTATTTATCATTATCTATTAATAAGAATGATAAAAATAGAATAATTTCTTGAAAGATAGCTCTAAACTTTCAGCTCTTCTTGATGTTGAGTTGACATTCCAGCTATAAAAACACAGATAATATTGAATATTGAATTATGATTAATAATATCAATTACTATGATCTGACCTATTAAGTTGGAGTAACTTCACTTTTTTAATAAAATAGACATTTATGATAAGTCGTTTTGGTGCATTTCTCCAATCGTCCTGACGTTTGCAAAACAGTAAATGTATTTCTCAAAGCAATTCATGCAAAGAGCAAAACACCATGAATTATCTGCAAAAGACGGTTTATTTCTGAGAGAAACTGGCTGAGCTAATGCTTCACAAATATACCTACACTGGAGAAACTTAGCATCTATGTGGGCAAAATTCACCAGCTGAGCACAGATTTAGATAAAACATCTAACAGAAATGTATGATTTTAATATTCAACAAGCAGGTTTGAAAATTTCACTTCTGTTGTGAGAACTGCAAGAAAGCGACTGAGAAAGTGTAATAATAAAATATTTAAAAGTAAAGTTTGACGTCATTTTGTAGTTTGTTTTAGAAATTCAAACATGCTATTGTATTGAACAAACTTTTGACAGAAACGTGAGCTTACTTCGATTATTAGTGATCACTCCGGCTACAGAAACAAAGATAAAATTAGAATAATTTAGGTCAAAATAAAATGTGTGCAGCATTTTCATTAAAATGATCCATCGTAACGACTTATGAATATGATTTATTGCAAACAACGTATTAATTATTTAATTAACAATAATAATTAGAGGTACATTTGAAGGCTGTCTTGTTACTTTTATCAATTAAAACATATATAATTGCTATAGATGGATGCAGTTACCTTGATTCTGAGTTGTCCTTCCAGCTGTAAAAACATAGAGATATTATTGGATATTAAATTAGGATGACTTATGTCAGTAAAAGAAGAAATGTGTTTTGTGTGGGCAGGTGTAAACAATTGCTTACTTTGTAATGACTAAAATGTTTCGACTGTATTCTTATTTCTCAGTTAACTAATAAAATAATAATATTTAAATCAGTGTTTCTCAAACATTTCAGGCTGAGGATCACTCACTCCATTTAACAACACTCACACACAGACCACATAACTAGAAATTCACCCACAAATAACACACCCTTAATATTTATAACCTGAATAATATATATTTTAGTCAATAACTCATCTTATTCCTTCTAATGTGAAAGGTGGCGCTGTTTTGTAAATGTGCCACAATAAAACCATGAACAAGTCGACTTGGAGCGTTTTGAGTTTGGATTGTAAGCTTTAAAATTTTGGAAAATACATGGAAATCCAAAAGGTTCCTTACTACTAGCTCTTTACCTTGGGTATTTGTAATTAGAAACATGATAAAGAAAATAGACCTGACTTGTTTGGCAAAAAGCAGTAGTCCAACATAAGTGATTTATTTTAGGTGTTTAGATGCAATATGATATTACGTTCAGCACCGTAAACTAGACCTGTATGCTGCTGCATGTTATGTATCATAATAATGTTGAAAACAAAAGTCTGCAATTCCTCCTGAGAGTTCCTTTTTAGTGACTGGTGTTAGGCCACTTATCCACCATTATTTTAACCACGTCCTTTGGTGAGTTAACTGTACAGCTCACTTTCAGCTCCAGTCACAGCAAATAAACCCTTGTTTATCTGCAGTACCGCGCGGACCACAGGGGGCGCCCATGGACCCATTAATGGTCCCGAAACCACAGTTTGATTAAAAACTGATGCAAAGACAATGTAGTCTAATGTCGAGGTTATTTTGTTACTTTGTGTTTTGGAAATTTGAATATTATTCTGTAGGATTCTTAGACAATTAAAAGATTAGATGGATGGACAAGACAGACAGTCTAACTTTTTAACCAATTTTGATTCTGGAATAAAAAACAACAAAATATCATTGAACATGATTTTTTTTTAATAAACGTGAGAGAAGAAGAAGAATTCTGTTGAAAGTTTAAATTATTCTGGCTTGTTTTTTAGACACAAACCAACAAATTAAATAATTGCCAGAAAACTTATTTGTTCTGTTTTTTAAATCAAACAAAAATTTCTAAAACCAGCACAGACACAGAGTGAAGTTTAAAATCCACTTTAGGTGTATTTAAAACAACATCCTGGAAAACTGCTCTATAAAATCATAAAATTAACCTAATTCTGGATTAGGATTATCTGGTCACATATATTACAACAGAGTTTCCTGCTATACTGCATTGCTTCTGCAGACTTGATAACAGAAACGAAAAATCTGTATAGAGGAGACCCTGCTCTGCTTGGAAACTAATCATGTATAATATATATAGGTAAAGTCTGATATTATATACATATTTATGCACAGATAGACAGAAACTTTCAGCTCACCTGTAGTTGTCTGCGTTGTCACTCCAGCTATAAAACAGACGCATCATTGACCATTAAATTATTATTATTAAAATTGACCTGTTTTCTGTAAAGACGATTTTAAACCACTACAGGAATGGCTATAATTCCTGTATACCAGGAATGACAGCCTGGAATCATAATTCCAGGCTGAATTATGATTCAGCCTGGAATAATTGCAATTATTAAATATGCAATTAATAATGCATATTTAAATTTATCAGTTACATGATATCTCATCACTTCATGAGATATCATGAATATTTATCATTATTTGTGTCGTAAGAATAAGAAAAATAATAATATCTTGAAATAAGAAGATATATGAACTTTCAGCTTACTTTGATTATTAGTGATCACACCAGCTATGGAAACACAGAGAGATATCATTGAACATTAATTAATTAATCTCTATCACAAAGACTTGTTTCTTGTTTAGGAAGATTTAAACCACTACATTCATTGCTATGATTAACAATTTTCCATTGTAATATTCAGTAATGATTATTTATCATTATCTATTAATAAGAATGATAAAATAGAATAATTTCTTGAAAGATAGCTCTAAACTTTCAGCTCTTCTTGATGTTGAGTTGACATTCCAGCTATAAAAACACAGATAATATTGAATATTGAATATGATTAATAATATCAATTACTATGATCTGACCTATTAAGTTGGAGTAACTTCACTTTTTTAATAAAATAGAACATTTATGATAAGTCGTTTTGGTGCATTTTTCCAATCGTCCTTGACGTTTGCAAAACAGTAAATGTATTTCTCAAAGCAATTCATGCAAAGAGCAAAACACCATGAATTATCTGCAAAAGACGGTTTATTTCTGAGAGAAAACTGGCTGAGCTAATGCTTCACAAATATACCTACACTGGAGAAACTTAGCATCTATGTGGGCAAAATTCACCAGCTGAGCACAGATTTAGATAAAACATCTAACAGAAATGTATGATTTTAATATTCAACAAGCAGGTTTGAAAATTTCACTTCTGTTGTGAGAACTGCAAGAAAGCAACTGAGAAAGTGTAATAATAAAATATTTAAAAGTAAAGTTTGACGTCATTTTGTAATGTGTTTTAGAAATTCAAACATGCTATTGTATTGAAACAAACTGTTGACAGAAACGTTGAGCTACTTCGATTATTAGTGATCACTCCGGCTACAGAAACAAAGATAAAATTAGAATAATTTAGGTCAATAAAATAAAATGTGTGCAGCATTTTAATTAAAATGATCCATCGTAACGACTTATGAATATGATTTATTGCAAACAACTTATTAATTATTTAATTAACAATAATAATTAGAGGTACATTTGAAGGTTATTTTTATCAATTAAAACATATATAATTGCTATAGATGGATGCAGTTACCTTGATTCTGAGTTGTCCTTCCAGCTGTAAAAACATAGAGATATTATTGGATATTAAATTAGGATGACTTATGTCAGTAAAAGAAGAAATGTGTTTTTTTGTGGGCAGGTGTAAACAATTGCTTACTTTGGAATGACTAAAATGTTTCCACTGTATTCTTATTTCTCAGTTAACTAATAAAAATAATAATATTTAAATGAGTGTTTCTCAAACATTTCAGGCTGAGGATCACTCACTCCATTTAACAACCACTCACACACAGACCACATAACTAGAAATTCACCCACAAATAACACACCTTAATATTATAACCTGAAATATATATATTTAGTCCAATAACTCATCTTTATTCCTTCTAATGTGAAAGGTGGCGCTGTTTTGTAAATGTGCCACAATAAAACCATGAACAAGTCGACTTGGAGCGTTTTGAGTTTGGATTGTAAGCTTTAAAATTTGGAAAATACATGGAAATCCAAAAGGTTCCTTACTACTAGCTCTTTACCTTGGGTATTTGTAATTTAGAAACATGATAAAGAAAATAGACCTGACTTGTTTGGCAAAAAGCAGGTAGTCCAACATAAGTGATTTATTTTAGGTGTTTAGATGCAATATGATATTACGTTCAGCACCGTAAACTAGACCTGTATGCCTGCTGCATGTTATGTATCATAATAATGTTGAAAACAAAAGTTCTGCAATTCCTCTGAGAGTTTCCTTTTTAGTGACTGGGTGTTAGGCCACTTATCCACCATTATTTTTAACCACAGTCCTTTGGTGAGTTAACTGTAGCAGCTCACTTTCAGCTCCAGTCACAGCAATAAACCCTTGTTTATCTGCAGTACCGCGCGGACCACAGGGGGGCGCCCATGGACCATTAATGGTCCCGAAACCACAGTTTGATTAAAAACTGATGCAAAGACAATGTAGGTCTAATGTCGGAGGTTATTTTGTTACTTTGTGTTTTGGAAATTTGAATATTATTCCTGTAGGATTCTTAGACAATTAAAAGATTAGATGGATGGACAAGACAGACAGTCTAACTTTTTAACCAATTTTGATTCTGGAATAAAAAAACAACAAAAATATCATTGAACGTGATTTTTTTTTAAATAAACGTGAGAGAAGAAGAATAATTCTGTTGAAAGTTTAAATTATTCTGGCTTGTTTTTTAGACACAAACCAACAAATTAAATAATTGCCAGAAAACTTATTTGTTCTGTTTTTTAAATCAACAAAAAATTTCTAAAACCAGCACAGACACAGAAGTTGAAGTTTAAAATCCACTTTAGGTGTATTATTTAAAACAACATCCTGGAAAACTGCTCTATAAAATCATAAAATTAACCTAATTCTGGATTAGGATTATCTGGTCACATATATTACAACAGAGTTTCCTGCTATACTGCATTGCTTCTGCAGACTGAACAGAAACGAAAAAATCTGTATAGAGGAGACCCTGCTCTGCTTGGAAACATAATCATGTAATAATATATAGAGGTAAAGTCTGATATTATATACATATTTATGCACAGATAGACAGAAACTTTCAGCTCACCTGTAGTTGTCTGCGTTGTCACTCCAGCTATAAAAACAGACGCATCATTGACCATTAAATTATTATTATTAAAATTGACCTGTTTTCTGCAAAGACGATTTAAACCACTACAGGAATGGCTATAATTCCTGTATACCAGGAATGACAGCCTGGAATCATAATTCCAGGCTGAATTATGATTCAGCTGGAATAATTGCAATTATTAAATATGCAATTAATAATGCATATTTAAATTTGATCAGTTACATGATATCTCATAACTTCATGAGATATCATGAATATTTATCATTATTTGTGTCGTAAGAATAATGAAAATAATAATATCTTGAAATAAGAAGATATATGAACTTTCAGCTTACTTTGATTATTAGTGATCACACCAGCTATGGAAACACAGAGAGATATCATTGAACATTAATTTAATTAATCTCTATCACAAAAGACTTGTTTCTTGTTTAGGAAGATTTAAACCACTACATTCATTGCTATGATTAACAATTTTCCATTGTAATATTCAGTAATGATTATTTATCATTATCTATTAATAAGAATGATAAAAATAGAATAATTTCTTGAAAGATAGCTCTAAACTTTCAGCTCTTCTTGATGTTGAGTTGACATTCCAGCTATAAAAACACAGATAATATTGAATATTGAATTATGATTAATAATATCAATTACTATGATCTGACCTATTAAGTTGGAGTACTTCACTTTTTTAATAAAATAGACATTTATGATAAGTCGTTTTGGTGCATTTTTCCAATCGTCCTTGACGTTTGCAAAACAGTAAATGTATTTCTCAAAGCAATTCATGCAAAGAGCAAAACACCATGAATTATCTGCAAAAGACGGTTTATTTCTGAGAGAAAACTGGCTGAGCTAATGCTTCACAAATATACCTACACTGGAGAAACTTAGCATCTATGTGGGCAAAATTCACCAGTTGAGCACAGATTTAGATAAAAACATCTAACAGAAATGTATGATTTTAATATTCAACAAGCAGGTTTGAAAATTTCACTTCTGTTGTGAGAACTGCAAGAAAGCAACTGAGAAAGTGTAATAATAAAATATTTAAAAGTAAAGTTTGACGTCATTTTGTAATGTGTTTTAGAAATTCAAACATGCTATTGTATTGAAACAAACTTTTGACAGAAACGTTGAGCTTACTTCGATTATGAGTGATCACTCCGGCTACAGAAACAAAGATAAAATTAGAATAATTTAGGTCAATAAAATAAAATGTGTGCAGCATTTTAATTAAAATGATCCATCGTAACGACTTATGAATATGATTTATTGCAAACAACTTATTAATTATTTAATTAACAATAATAATTAGAGGTACATTTGAAGGTTATTTTTATCAATTAAAACATATATAATTGCTATAGATGGATGCAGTTACCTTGATTCTGAGTTGTCCTTCCAGCTGTAAAAACATAGAGATATTATTGGATATTAAATTAGGATGACTTATGTCAGTAAAAGAAGAAATGTGTTTTGTGTGGGCAGGTGTAAACAATTGCTTACTTTGGAATGACTAAAATGTTTCGACTGTATTCTTATTTCTCAGTTAACTAATAAAAATAATAATATTTAAATGAGTTTCTCAAACATTTCAGGCTGAGGATCACTCACTCCATTTAACAAACACTCACACACAGACCACATAACTAGAAATTCACCCACAAATAACACACCTTAATATTTATAACCTGAAATATATATATTAGTCCAATAACTCATCTTTATTCCTTCTAATGTGAAAGGTGGCGCTGTTTTGTAAAGGTGACACAATAAAACCATGAACAAGTCGACTTGGAGCGTTTTGAGTTTGGATTGTAAGCTTTAAAATTTTGGAAAATACATGGAAATCCAAAAGGTTCCTTACTACTAGCTCTTTACCTTGGGGTATTTGTAATTTAGAAACATGATAAAAGAAAATAGACCTGACTTGTTTGGCAAAAAGCAGGTAGTCCAACATAAGTGATTTATTTTAGGTGTTTAGATGCAATATGATATTACGTTCAGCACCGTAAACTAGACCTGTATGCCTGCTGCATGTTATGTATCATAATAATGTTGAAAACAAAAGTTCTGCAATTCCTCCTGAGAGTTTCCTTTTTAGTGACTGGGTGTTAGGCCACTTATCCACCATTATTTTTAACCACAGTCCTTTGGTGAGTTAACTGTAGCAGCTCACTTTCAGCTCCAGTCACAGCAAATAAACCCTTGTTTATCTGCAGTACCGCGCAGACCACAGGGGGGCGCCATGGACCATTAATGGTCCCGAAACCACAGTTTATTAAAAACTGATGCAAAAACAATGTAGGTCTAATGTCGGAGGTTATTTTGTTACTTTGTGTTTTGGAAATTTGAATATTATTCCTGTAGGATTCTTAGACAATTAAAAGATTAGATGGATGGACAAGACAGACAGTCTAACTTTTTAACCAATTTGATTCTGGAATAAAAAAACAACAAAAATATCATTGAACATGATTTTTTTTTTAATAAACGTGAGAGAAGAAGAAGAATTCTGTTGAAAGTTTAAATTATTCTGGCTTGTTTTTTAGACACAAACCAACAAATTAAATAATTGCCAGAAAACTTATTTGTTCTGTTTTTTAAATCAAACAAAAAATTTCTAAAACCAGCACAGACACAGAGTGAAGTTTAAAAATCCACTTTAGGTGTATTTAAAACAACATCCTGGAAAACTGCTCTATAAAATCATAAAATTAACCTAATTCTGGATTAGGATTATCTGGTCACATATATTACAACAGAGTTTCCTGCTATACTGCATTGCTTCTGCAGACTTGATAACAGAAACGAAAAAATCTGTATAGAGGAGACCCTGCTCTGCTTGGAAACATAATCATGTAATAATATATAGAGGTAAAGTCTGATATTATATACATATTTATGCACAGATAGACAGAAACTTTCAGCTCACCTGTAGTTGTCTGCGTTGTCACTCCAGCTATAAAAACAGACGCATCATTGACCATTAAATTATTATTATTAAAATTGACCTGTTTTCTGTAAAGACGATTTAAACCACTACAGGAATGGCTGTCATTCCTGGTATACAGGAATGACAGCCTGGAATCATAATTCCAGGCTGAATTATGATTCAGCCTGGAATAATTGCAATTATTAAATATGCAATTAATAATGCATATTTAAATTTGATCAGTTACATGATATCTCATAACTTCATGAGATATCATGAATATTTATCATTATTTGTGTCGTAAGAATAATGAAAATAATAATATCTTGAAATAAGAAGATATATGAACTTTCAGCTTACTTTGATTATTAGTGATCACACCAGCTATGGAAACACAGAGAGATATCATTGAACATTAATTTAATTAATCTCTATCACAAAAGACTTGTTTCTTGTTTAGGAAGATTTAAACCACTACATTCATTGCTATGATTAACAATTTTCCATTGTAATATTCAGTAATGATTATTTATCATTATCTATTAATAAGAATGATAAAAATAGAATAATTTCTTGAAAGATAGCTCTAAACTTTCAGCTCTTCTTGATGTTGAGTTGACATTCCAGCTATAAAAACACAGATAATATTGAATATTGAATTATGATTAATAATATCAATTACTATGATCTGACCTATTAAGTTGGAGTAACTTCACTTTTTTAATAAAATAGACATTTATGATAAGTCGTTTTGGTGCATTTCTCCAATCGTCCTTGACGTTTGCAAAACAGTAAATGTATTTCTCAAAGCAATTCATGCAAAGAGCAAAACACCATGAATTATCTGCAAAAGACGGTTTATTTCTGAGAGAAAACTGGCTGAGCTAATGCTTCACAAATATACCTACACTGGAGAAACTTAGCATCTATGGGGGCAAAATTCACCAGTTGAGCACAGATTTAGATAAAACATCTAACAGAAATGTATGATTTTAATATTCAACAAGCAGGTTTGAAAATTTCACTTCTGTTGTGAGAACTGCAAGAAAGCAACTGAGAAAGTGTAATAATAAATATTTAAAAGTAAAGTTTGACGTCATTTTGTAATGTGTTTTAGAAATTCAAACATGCTATTGTATTGAAACAAACTTTTGACAGAAACGTTGAGCTTACTTCGATTATTAGTGATCACTCCGGCTACAGAAACAAAGATAAATTAGATAATTTAGGTCAATAAAATAAAATGTGTGCAGCATTTTCATTAAAATGATCCATCGTAACGACTTATGAATATGATTTATTGCAAACACTTATTAATTATTTAATTAACAATAATAATTAGAGGTACATTTGAAGGTTATTTTTATCAATTAAAACATATATAATTGCTATAGATGGATGCAGTTACCTTGATTCTGAGTTGTCCTTCCAGCTGTAAAAACATAGAGATATTATTGGATATTAAATTAGGATGACTTATGTCAGTAAAAGAAGAAATGTGTTTTTGTGTGGGCAGGTGTAAACAATTGCTTACTTTGTAATGACTAAAAAGTTTCGACTGTATTCTTATTTCTCAGTTAACTAATAAAAATAATAATATTTAAATCAGTGTTTCTCAAACATTTCAGGCTGAGGATCACTCACTCCATTTAACAAACACTCACACACAGACCACATAACTAGAAATTCACCCACAAATAACACATCTTAATATTTATAACCTGAAATATATATATTTAGTCCAATAACTCATCTTTATTCCTTCTAATGTGAAAGGTGGCGCTGTTTTGTAAATGTGCCACAATAAAAAACCATGAACAAGTCGACTTGGAGCGTTTTGAGTTTGGATTGTAAGCTTTAAAATTTTGGAAAATACATGGAAATCCAAAAGGTTCCTTACTACTAGCTCTTTACTTTGGGGTATTTGTAATTTAGAAACATGATAAAAGAAAATAGACCTGACTTGTTTGGCAAAAAGCAGGTAGTCCAACATAAGTGATTTATTTTAGGTGTTTAGATGCAATATGATATTACGTTCAGCACCGTAAACTAGACCTGTATGCCTGCTGCATGTTATGTATCATAATAATGTTGAAAACAAAAGTTCTGCAATTCCTCCTGAGAGTTTCCTTTTTAGTGACTGGGTGTAGGCCACTTATCCACCATTATTTTTAACCACAGTCCTTTGGTGAGTTAACTGTAGCAGCTCACTTTCAGCTCCAGTCACAGCAAATAAACCCTTGTTTACCTGCAGTACCGCGCAGACCACAGGGGGGCGCCCATGGACCATTAATGGTCCCGAAACCACAGTTTGATTAAAAACTGATGCAAAGACAATGTAGGTCTAATGTCGGAGGTTATTTTATTACTTTGTGTTTTGGAAATTTGAATATTATTCCTGTAGGATTCTTAGACAATTAAAAGATTAGATGGATGGACAAGACAAACAGTCTAACTTTTTAACCAATTTTGATTCTGGAATAAAAAAACAACAAAAATATCATTGAACGTGATTTTTTTTTAATAAACGTGAGAGAAGAAGAAGAATTCTGTTGAAAGTTTAAATTATTCTGGCTTGTTTTTTAGACACAAACCAACAAATTAAATAATTGCCAGAAAACTTATTTGTTCTGTTTTTTAAATCAAACAAAAAATTTCTAAAACCAGCACAGACACAGAGTGAAGTTTAAAAATCCACTTTAGGTGTATTTAAAACAACATCCTGGAAAACTGCTCTATAAAATCATAAAATTAAACCTAATTCTGGATTAGGATTATCTGGTCACATATATTACAACAGAGTTTCCTGCTATACTGCATTGCTTCTGCAGACTTGATAACAGAAACGAAAAAATCTGTATAGAGGAGACCGTGCTCTGCTTGGAAACATAATCATGTAATAATATATAGAAGTAAAGTCTGATATTATATACATATTTATGCACAGATAGACAGAAACTTTCAGCTCACCTGTAGTTGTCTGCGTTGTCACTCCAGCTATAAAAACAGACGCATCATTGACCATTAAATTATTATTATTAAAATTGACCTGTTTTCTGTAAAGACGATTTAAACCACTACAGGAATGGCTATAATTCCTGTATACCAGGAATGACAGCCTGGAATCATAATTCCAGGCTGAATTATAATTCAGCCTGGAATAATTGCAATTATTAAATATGCAATTAATAATGCATATTTAAATTTTATCAGTTACATGATATCTCATATCTTCATGAGATATCATGAATATTTATCATTATTTGTGTCGTAAGAATAATAAAAATAATAATATCTTGAAATAAGAAGATATATGAACTTTCAGCTTACTTTGATTATTAGTGATCACACCAGCTATGGAAACACAGAGAGATATCATTGAACATTAATTTAATTAATCTCTATCACAAAAGACTTGTTTCTTGTTTAGGAAGATTAAACCACTACATTCATTGCTATGATTAACAATTTTCCATTGTAATATTCAGTAATGATTATTTATCATTATCTATTAATAAGAATGATAAAAATAGAATAATTTCTTGAAAGATAGCTCTAAACTTTCAGCTCTTCTTGATGTTGAGTTGACATTCCAGCTATAAAAACACAGATAATATTGAATATTGAATTATGATTAATAATATCAATTACTATGATCTGACCTATTAAGTTGGAGTAACTTCACTTTTTTAATAAAATAGACATTTATGATAAGTCGTTTGGTGCATTTCTCCAATCGTCCTTGACGTTTGCAAAACAGTAAATGTATTTCTCAAAGCAATTCATGCAAAGAGCAAAACACCATGAATTATCTGCAAAAGACGGTTTATTTCTGAGAGAAAACTGGCTGAGCTAATGCTTCACAAATATACCTACACTGGAGAAACTTAGCATCTATGTGGGCAAAATTCACCAGTTGAGCACAGATTTAGATAAAACATCTAACAGAAATGTATGATTTTAATATTCAACAAGCAGGTTTGAAAATTTCACTTCTGTTGTGAGAACTGCAAGAAAGCAACTGAGAAAGTGTAATAATAAAATATTTAAAAGTAAAGTTTGACGTCATTTTGTAATGTGTTTTAGAAATTCAAACATGCTATTGTATTAAAACAAACTTTTGACAGAAACGTTGAGCTTACTTCGATTATGAGTGATCACTCCGGCTACAGAAACAAAGATAAAATTAGAATAATTTAGGTCAATAAAATAAAATGTGTGCAGCATTTTAATTAAAATGATCCATCGTAACGACTTATGAATATGATTTATTGCAAACAACTTATTAATTTTAATTAACAATAATAATTAGAGGTACATTTGAAGGCTGTCTTGTTACTTTTATCAATTAAAACATATATACTGTTATAGATGGATGCAGTTACCTTGATTCTGAGTTGTCCTTCCAGCTGTAAAAACATAGAGATATTATTGGATCTTAAATTAGGATGACTTATGTCAGTAAAAAGAAGAAATGTGTTTTGTGTGGCAGGTGTAAACAATTGCTTACTTTGTAATGACTAAAATGTTTCGACTGTATTCTTATTTCTCAGTTTACTAATAAAAATAATAATATTTAAATCAGTGTTTCTCAAACATTTCAGGCTGAGGATCACTCACTCCATTTAACAAACACTCACACACAGACCACATAACTAGAAATTGACCCACAAATACCACAACACCTTAATATTTATAACCTGAAATATATATATTCAGTCCAATAACTCATCTTTATTCCTTCTAATGTGAAAGGTGGCGCTGTTTTGTAAATGTGCCACAATAAAACCATGAACAAGTCGACTTGGAGCGTTTTGAGTTTGGATTGTAAGCTTTAAAATTTTGGAAAATACATGGAAATCCAAAAGGTTCCTTACTACTAGCTCTTTACCTTGGGGTATTTGTAATTTAGAAACATGATAAAAGAAAATAGACCTGACTTGTTTGGCAAAAAGCAGGTAGTCCAACATAAGTGATTTATTTTAGGTGTTTAGATGCATATGATATTACGTTCAGCACCGTAAACTAGACCTGTATGCCCTGCATGTTATGTATCATAATAATGTTGAAAACAAAAGTTCTGCAATTCCTCCTGAGAGTTTCCTTTTTAGTGACTGGGTGTTAGGCCACTTATCCACCATTATTTTTAACCACAGTCCTTTGGTGAGTTAACTGTAGCAGCTCACTTTCAGCTCCAGTCACAGCAAATAAACCCTTGTTTACCTGCAGTACCGCGCGGACCACAGGGGGGCGCATGGACCATTAATGGTCCCGAAACCACAGTTTATTAAAAACTGATGCAAAAACAATGTAGGTCTAATGTCGGAGGTTATTTGTTACTTTGTGTTTTGGAAATTTGAATATTATTCCTGTAGGATTCTTAGACAATTAAAAGATTAGATGGATGGACAAGACAAACAGTCTAACTTTTTAACCAATTTTGATTCTGGAATAAAAAAAACAACAAAATATCATTGAACATGATTTTTTTTAATAACGTGAGAGAAGAAGAAGAATTCTGTTGAAAGTTTAAATTATTCTGGCTTGTTTTTTAGACACAAACCAACAAATTAAATAATTGCCAGAAAACTTATTTGTTTCTGTTTTTTAAAGCAAACAAAAATTTCTAAAACCAGCACAGACACAGAGTGAAGTTTAAAAATCCACTTTAGGTGTATTTAAAACAACATCCTGGAAAACTGCTCTATAAAATCATAAAATTAACCTAATTCTGGATTAGGATTATCTGGTCACATATATTACAACAGAGTTTCCTGCTATACTGCATTGCTTCTGCAGACTTGATAACAGAACGAAAAAATCTGTATAGAGGAGACCCTGCTCTGCTTGGAAACATAATCATGTAATAATATAGAGGTAAAGTCTGATATTATATACATATTTATGCACAGATAGACAGAAACTTTCAACTCACCTGTAGTTGTCTGCGTTGTCACTCCAGCTATAAAAACAGACGCATCATTGACCATTAAATTATTATTATTAAAATTGACCTGTTTTCTGTAAAGACGATTTAAACCACTACAGGAATGGCTGTCATTCCTGTATACCAGGAATGACAGCCTGGAATCATAATTCCAGGCTGAATTATGATTCAGCCTGGAATAATTGCAATTATTAAATATGCAATTAATAATGCATATTTAAATTTTATCAGTTACATAATATCTCATAACTTCATGAGATATCATGAATATTTATCATTATTTGTGTCGTAAGAATAATGAAAATAATAATATCTTGAAATAAGAAGATATATGAACTTTCAGCTTACTTTGATTATTAGTGATCACTCCGGCTACAGAAACAAAGATAAAATTAGAATAATTTAGGTCAATAAAATAAAATGTGTGCAGCATTTTCATTAAAATGATCCATCGTAACGACTTATGAATATGATTTATTGTAAACAACGTATTAATTATTTAATTAACAATAATAATTAGAGGTACATTTGAAGGTTACTTTGATCAATTAAAACATATATAATTGTTATAGATGGATGCAGTTACCTTGATTCTGAGTTGTCCTTCCAGCTGTAAAAACATAGAGATATTATTGGATATTAAATTAGGATGACTTATGTCAGTAAAAGAAGAAATGTGTTTTGTGTGGGCAGGTGTAAACAATTGCTTACTTTGGAATGACTAAAATGTTTCGACTGTATTCTTATTTCTCAGTTTAACTAATAAAAAAAATAATATTTAAATCAGTTTCTCAAACATTTCAGGCTGAGGATCGCTCACTCCATTTAACAAACACTCACACACAGACCACATAACTAGAAATTCACCCACAAATAACACACCTTAATATTTATAACCTGAAATATATATATTTAGTCCAATAACTCATCTTTATTCCTTCTAATGTGAAAGGTGGCGCTGTTTTGTAAAGGTGACACAATAAAACCATGAACAAGTCGACTTGGAGCGTTTTGAGTTTGGATTGTAAGCTTGAAAATTTTGGAAAATACATGGAAATCCAAAAGGTTCCTTACTACTAGCTCTTTACCTTGGGGTATTTGTAATTTAGAAACATGATAAAAGAAAATAGACCTGACTTGTTTGGCAAAAAGCAGGTAGTCCAACATAAGTGATTTATTTTAGGTGTTTTAGATGCAATATGATATTACGTTCAGCACCGTAAACTAGACCTGTATGCCTGCTGCATGTTATGTATCACAATAATGTTGAAAACAAAGTTCTGCAATTCCTCCTGAGAGTTTCCTTTTTAGTGACTGGGTGTTAGGCCACTTATCCACCATTATTTTTAACCACGGTCCTTTGGTGAGTTAACTGTAGCAGCTCACTTTCAGCTCCAGTCACAGCAAATAACCCTTGTTTACCTGCAGTACCGCGCAGACCACAGGGGGCGCCCATGGACCATTAATGGTCCCGAAACCACAGTTTATTAAAAACTGATGCAAAACAATGTAGGTCTAATGTCGGAGGTTATTTTATTACTTTGTGTTTTGGAAATTTGAATATTATTCCTACAGTATTCTTAGACAATTAAAAGATTGGATGGATGGACAAGACAAACAGTCTAACTTTTTAACCAATTTTGATTCTGGAATAAAAAAACAACAAAAATATCATTGAACGTGATTTTTTTTTTTAATAAACGTGAGAGAAGAAGAATAATTCTGTTGAAAGTTTAAATTATTCTGGCTTGTTTTTTAGACACAAACCAACAAATTAAATAATTGCCAGAAAACTTATTTGTTTCTGTTTTTTAAAGCAAACAAAAATTTCTAAAACCAGCACAGACACAGAGTGAAGTTTAAAAATCCACTTTAGGTGTATTTAAAACAACATCCTGGAAAACTGCTCTATAAAATCATAAAATTAACCTAATTCTGGATTAGGATTATCTGCTCACATATATTACAACAGAGTTTCCTGCTATACTGCATTGCTTCTGCAGACTTGATAACAGAAACGAAAAAATCTGTATAGAGGAGACCCTGCTCTGCTTGGAAACATAATCATGTAATAATATATAGAAGTAAAGTCTGATATTATATACATATTTATGCCAGATAGACAGAAACTTTCAGCTCACCTGTAGTTGTCTGCGTTGTCACTCCAGCTATAAAAACAGACGCATCATTGACCATTAAATTATTATTATTAAAATTGACCTGTTTTCTGCAAAGACGATTTAAACCACTACAGGAATGGCTATAATTCCTGTATACCAGGAATGACAGCCTGGAATCATAATTCCAGGCTGAATTATGATTCAGCCTGGAATAATTGCAATTATTAAATATGCAATTAATAATGCATATTTTAATTTGATCAGTTACATAATATCTCATAACTTCATGAGATATCATGAATATTTATCATTATGTGTGTCGTAAGATTAATGAAAATAATAACATTTTGAAATAAGAAGATATATGAACTTTCAGCTTACTTTGATTATTAGTGATCACACCAGCTATGGAAACACAGAGAGATATCATTGAACATTAATTTAATTAATCTCTATCACAAAAGACTTGTTTCTTGTTTAGGAAGATTTAAACCACTACATTCATTGCTATGATTAACAATTTTCCATTGTAATATTCAGTAATGATTATTTATCATTATCTATTAATAAATGAAAAAATAGAATAATTTCTTGAAAGATAGCTCTAAACTTTCAGCTCTTCTTGATGTTGAGTTGACATTCCAGCTATAAAAACACAGATATTGAATATTGAATTATGATTAATAATATCAATTACTATGATCTGACCTATTAAGTTGGAGTAACTTCACTTTTTTAATAAAATAGACATTTATGATAAGTCGTTTTGGTGCATTTCTCCAATCGTCCTTGACGTTTGCAAAACAGTAAATGTATTTCTCAAAGCAATTCATGCAAAGAGCAAAACACCATGAATTATCTGCAAAAGACGGTTTATTTCTGAGAGAAAACTGGCTGAGCTAATGCTTCACAAATATACCTACACTGGAGAAACTTAGCATCTATGTGGGCAAAATTCACCAGCTGAGCACAGATTTAGATAAAACATCTAACAGAAATGTATGATTTTAATATTCAACAAGCAGGTTTGAAAATTTCACTTCTGTTGTGAGAAATGCAAGAAAGCGACTGAGAAAGTGTAATAATAAATATTTAAAAGTAAAGTTTGACGTCATTTTGTAATGTGTTTTAGAAATTCAAACATGCTATTGTATTAAAACAAACTTTTGACAGAAACGTTGAGCTTACTTCGATTATGAGTGATCACTCCGGCTACAGAAACAAAGATAAAATTAGAATAATTTAGGTCAATAAAATAAAATGTGTGCAGCATTTTAATTAAAATGATCCATCGTAACGACTTATGAATATGATTTATTGTAAACAACGTATTAATTATTTAATTAACAATAATAATTAGAGGTACATTTGAAGGCTGTCTTGTTACTTTTATCAATTAAAACATATATAATTGTTATAGATGGATGCAGTTACCTTGATTCTGAGTTGTCCTTCCAGCTGTAAAACATAGAGATATTATTGGATATTAAATTAGGATGACTTATGTCAGTAAAAGAAGAAATGTGTTTTGTGTGGGCAGGTGTAAACAATTGCTTACTTTGGAATGACTAAAATGTTTCGACTGTATTTTTATTTCTCAGTTAACTAATAAAAATAATATTTAAATCAGTGTTTCTCAAACATTTCAGACTGAGGATCACTCACTCCATTTAACAAACACTCACACACAGACCACATAACTAGAAATTCACCCACAAATAACACAACACCTTAATATTTATAACCTGAAATATAAATGTTCAGTCTAATAACTCATCTTTATTCCTTCTAATGTGAAAGGTGACACAATAAAACCATGAACAAGTCGACTTGGGGCGTTTTGAGTTTGGATTGTAAGCTTGAAAATTTTGGAAAATACATGGAAATCCAAAAGGTTCCTTACTACTAGCTCTTTACTTTGGGGTATTTGTAATTTAGAAACATGATAAAAGAAAATAGACCTGACTTGTTTGGCAAAAAGCAGGTAGTCCAACATAAGTGATTTATTTTAGGTGTTTAGATGCAATATGATATTACATTCAGCACCGTAAACTAGACCTGTATGCCTGCTGCATGTTATGTATCATAATAATGTTGAAAACAAAAGTTCTGCAATTCCTCCTGAGAGTTTCCTTTTTAGTGACTGGGTGTTAGGCCACTTATCCACCATTATTTTTAACCACGGTCCTTTGGTGAGTTAACTGTAGCAGCTCACTTTCAGCTCCAGTCACAGCAAACAAACCCTTGTTTACCTGCAGTACCGCGCGGACCACAGGGGGGCGCCCATGGACCATTAATGGTCCCGAAACCACAGTTTGATTAAAAACTGATGCAAAAACAATGTAGGTCTAATGTCGGAGGTTATTTTGTTACTTTGTGTTTTGGAAATTTGAATATTATTCCTGCAGTATTCTTAGACAATTAAAAGATTAGATGGATGGACAAGACAGACAGTCTAACTTTTTAACCAATATTGATTCTGGAATAAAAAACAACAAAAATATCATTGAACGTGATTTTTTTTTTTAGTAAACGGGAGAGAAGAAGAAGAATTCTGTTGAAAGTTTAAATTATTCTGGCTTGTTTTTTAGACACAACCAACGAATTAAATAACTGCCAGAAAACTTATTTGTTTCTGTTTTTTTAAAGCAAAAAAATTTCTAAAACCAGCACAGACACAGAGTGAAGTTTAAAAATCCACTTTAGGTGTATTTAAAACAACATCCTGGAAAACTGCTCTATAAAATCATAAAATTAACCTAATTCTGGATTAGGATTATCTGGTCACATATATTACAACAGAGTTTCCTGCTATACTGCATTGCTTCTGCAGACTTGATAACAGAAACGAAAAATCTGTATAGAGGAGACCCTGCTCTGCTTGGAAACATAATCATGTAATAATATAGAGGTAAAGTCTGATATTATATACATTTTATGCACAGATAGACAGAAACTTTCAACTCACCTGTAGTTGTCTGCGTTGTCACTCCAGCTATAAAAACAGACGCATCATTGACCATTAAATTATTATTATTAAAATTGACCTGTTTTCTGTAAGACGATTTAAACCACTACAGGAATGGCTGTCATTCCTGTATACCAGGAATGACAGCCTGGAATCATAATTCCAGGCTGAATTATGATTCAGCCTGGAATAATTTCAATTATGAAATATGCAATTAATAATGCATATTTAAATTTGATCAGTTACATGATATCTCATAACTTCATGAGATATCATGAATATTTATCATTATTTGTGTCGTAAGAATAATGAAAATAATAATATCTTGAAATAAGAAGATATATGAACTTTCAGCTTACTTTGATTATTAGTGATCACTCCGGCTACAGAAACAAAGATAAAATTAGAATAATTTAGGTCAATAAAATAAAATGTGTGCAGCATTTTCATTAAAATGATCCATCGTAACGACTTATGAATATGATTTATTGTAAACAACGTATTAATTATTTAATTAACAATAATAATTAGATGTTATAGATGGATGCAGTTACCTTGATTCTGAGTTGTCCTTCCAGCTGTAAAAACATAGAGATATTATTGGATATTAAATTAGGATGACTTATGTCAGTAAAGAAGAAATGTGTTTTGTGTGGGCAGGTGTAAACATTGCTTACTTTGGAATGACTAAAATGTTTCGACTGTATTCTTATTTCTCAGTTAACTAATAAAAATAATAATATTTAAATCAGTGTTTCTCAAACATTTCAGGCTGAGGATCACTCACTCCATTTAACAAACACTCACACACAGACCACATACTTCACCCACAAATAACACACCTTAATATTTATAACCTGAAATATATATATTTAGTCCAATAACTCATCTTTATTCCTTCTAATGTGAAAGGTGGCGCTGTTTTGTAAAGGTGACACAATAAACCATGAACAAGTCGACTTGGAGCGTTTTGAGTTTGGATTGTAAGCTTGAAAATTTTGGAAAATACATGGAAATCCAAAAGGTTCCTTACTACTAGCTCTTTACCTTGGGGTATTTGTAATTTAGAAACATGATAAAAGAAAATAGACCTGACTTGTTTGGCAAAAGCAGGTAGTCCAACATAAGTGATTTATTTTAGGTGTTTAGATGCAATATGATATTACGTTCAGCACCGTAAACTAGACCTGTATGCCTGCTGCATGTTATGTATCATAAATGTTGAAAACAAAAGTTCTGCAATTCCTCCTGAGAGTTTCCTTTTTAGTGACTGGGTGTTAGGCCACTTATCCACCATTATTTTTAACGGTCCTTTGGTGAGTTAACTGTAGCAGCTCACTTTCAGCTCCAGTCACAGCAAATAAACCCTTGTTTACCTGCAGTACCGCGCGGACCACTGGGGGGCGCCCATGGACCATTAATGGTCCCGAAACCACAGTTTATTAAAAACTGATGCAAAGACAATGTAGGTCTAATGTCGGAGGTTATTTTGTTACTTTCTGTTTTGGAAATTTGAATATTATTCCTGTAGGATTCTTAGACAATTAAAAGATTAGATGGATGGACAAGACAGACAGTCTAACTTTTTAACCAATTTTGATTCTGGAATAAAAAACACAAAAATCATTGAACATGATTTTTTTTTAATAAACGTGAGAGAAGAAGAAGAATTCTGTTGAAAGTTTAAATTATTCTGGCTTGTTTTTTAGACACAAACCAACAAATTAAATAATTGCCAGAAAACTTATTTGTTTCTGTTTTTTAAAGCAAACAAAAAATTTCTAAAACCAGCACAGACACAGAGTGAAGTTTAAAAATCCACTTTAGGTGTATTTAAAACAACATCCTGGAAAACTGCTCTATAAAATCATAAAATTAACCTAATTCTGGATTAGGATTATCTGGTCACATATATTACAACAGAGTTTCCTGCTATACTGCATTGCTTCTGCAGACTTGATAACAGAAACGAAAAAATCTGTATAGAGGAGACCCTGCTCTGCTTGGAAACATAATCATGTAATAATATATAGAAGTAAAGTCTGATATTATATACATATTTATGCACAGATAGACAGAAACTTTCAGCTCACCTGTAGTTGTCTGCGTTGTCACTCCAGCTATAAAAACAGACGCATCATTGACCATTAAATTATTATCATTAAAATTGACCTGTTTTCTGCAAAGACGATTTAAACCACTACAGGAATGGCTATAATTCCTGTATACCAGGAATGACAGCCTGGAATCATAATTCCAGGCTGAATTATGATGCAGCCTGGAATAATTGCAATTATTAAATATGCAATTAATAATGCATATTTAAATTTGATCAGTTACATGATATCTCATAACTTCATGAGATTTCATGAATATTTATCATTATTTGTGTCGTAAGAATAATGAAAATAATAATATCTTGAAATAAGAAGATATATGAACTTTCAGCTTACTTTGATTATTAGTGATCACACCAGCTATGGAAACACAGAGAGATATCATTGAACATTAATTTAATTAATCTCTATCACAAAAGACTTGTTTCTTGTTTAGGAAGATTTAAACCACTACATTCATTGCTATGATTAACAATTTTCCATTGTAATATTCAGTAATGATTATTTATCATTATCTATTAATAAGAATGATAAAAATAGAATAATTTCTTGAAAGATAGCTCTAAACTTTCAGCTCTTCTTGATGTTGAGTTGACATTCCAGCTATAAAAACACAGATAATATTGAATATTGAATTATGATTAATAATATCAATTACTATGATCTGACCTATTAAGTTGGAGTAACTTCACTTTTTTAATAAAATAGACATTTATGATAAGTCGTTTTGGTGCATTTCTCCAATCGTCCTTGACGTTTGCAAAACAGTAAATGTATTTCTCAAAGCAATTCATGCAAAGAGCAAAACACCATGAATTATCTGCAAAAGACGGTTTATTTCTGAGAGAAAACTGGCTGAGCTAATGCTTCACAAATATACCTACACTGGAGAAACTTAGCATCTATGTGGGCAAAATTCACCAGCTGAGCACAGATTTAGATAAAACATCTAACAGAAATGTATGATTTTAATATTCAACAAGCAGGTTTGAAAATTTCACTTCTGTTGTGAGAAATGCAAGAAAGCGACTGAGAAAGTGTAATAATAAAATATTTAAAAGTAAAGTTTGACGTCATTTTTTAATATGTTTTAGAAATTCAAACATGCTATTGTATTGAAACAAACTTTTGACAGAAACGTTGAGCTTACTTCGATTATGAGTGATCACTCCGGCTACAGAAACAAAGATAAAATTAGAATAATTTAGGTCAATAAAATAAAATGTGTGCAGCATTTTAATTAAAATGATCCATCGTAACGACTTATGAATATGATTTATTGCAAACAACTTATTAATTATTTAATTAACAATAATAATTAGAGGTACATTTGAAGGCTGTCTTGTTACTTTTATCAATTAAAACATATAACTGTTA